CCTCGAACTCACAGAGATCTGCCTGCCTCTGCCTCCCTAGTGCTGGGATTAAAGGTGTGCATCACTATGCCTGGCCAGCCAATGCTTTTTAAAATTTATTACTGGTGCATGTGTACGGATGCACACGTACCACAGCATATATGTGGAGGTCATATGTGGAGGTCAAATTGTAGAGTTTGTTTTCTCCTTTCTACCTTTACGTAAGTTTTGGAGATTGAACTCAGGTCATCAGGCTTGGGTAGTAAGTGACTTTACTTGCTGGTTTATCTATTATTATTGTTGTTGTTATTATTATTTTGAGATAGGATCTTGCTATGTAGACCAGGCTGGCCTTGAACTCACAGAGATCCGCTGCCTCTGCCTCCTGAGTGCTGGGATTAAAGGCATGCTCCCCACACTCGGCTATTTTTAAAAATGGTTATTACATTTGTTTATCTCTTGGGGAGGACACTCATGTCATAGCACACGTGGAGGTCAGAGGATGGCTTGTGAGAGTAGGTCCTCTCTTTCTACCATGTGGGGCCAAGGAGTTGACCTCAGGTTATGAGGCTTGGCGGCAAGTGCTTTTACCCATGAAGCCATCTTGCTGGCCCTTCCAATTCATTTTTATCCTACTAAGGAGCAAGGCCATGCACTTCCACGGTTGGCTGTTGGGGTGGGGCCAGGAAGACTGAGCCAGGTCTGGCTCCTGATCTCTGAGCAGTCTCAGGGCCAGCTTCCTCAAGCTTCCCTGGAAGCTAGTCACTTCATTTTTATCTGCTTTGAGTGGTTTCCAACTTTCTCTGAAATCCAGGCCATTTTTAAAAGTCAGTAATTCACAGTACACCTTCCAAAGAGTAGTTATTATTTTTATATGTGCTTATTGGAAAACAAATGACTCAAAGCGCTCATGAATTCAGAAAAGCTTTCAGATGACTTTGATGTTATATTTGCCATTGTGGTTAATAAAATATACATTAGGAAAAATAGTTTCAGTTTTATAGACAAGATGTACTGATCTGCCTTGAGGTGTTTGGTGCACGTATGGATTTGCGGATCTTTTGGAATCTCCCCTGTAATTTTCTGGGGTATGGGCTTACCTGCTGACTGAGAACCTCCATGCCAGGTAATTTGCCTGTCTTCTTCCTTTCTCGGGGGTGCCCGGCCACATATAATTGCTGGCAGAGCTAAGGATGAGTGACTGAACATCTTGTACCTCCTGCTGACTGTGTGTGTGCCAAGCTGGGGTAAAGTAGATAGGGATTTTGCAGTAGTTTGCCATCTCTGCTCCCTCGTCTCTCATGTGTGTGAAGAAGGGCTGAAAAGTGATCAAGGAAGGGGTTGTGCAACTAGGTACGGGAGGCCTCCGGTGGAGTGGAGGCCTAGATACAGAGGGCTGAGTGTCAAGAGAGGAAGAACTGGCCATGTGCGTGCTACGGAGCGGTGGCCACATGCATGCCATGGGCTTGCAAGCTATTTAATTCAACAGGTGGCGATCATGCCCTCCCCCCCCTTAGTGATAGGCAGTGTGCTGGGCCCTATGGGGGAATCAGAAATGAGTAATGCTGTCTACAGCCATACCACCCCAAATGTGCCGGGTCTCGTCTGATTTTGGAAGCTAAGCAGGGTCAGGCCTGGTTAGTACAGGCATGGTTAAGACATTTTGCATTCAGACCGCTTGGCCAGTGGCTTCAGACTTGAGCTTCTGCATCTGTTAAGTGCCCTAATAATGGTACCTACCTCATAGTCACTACACATAGAACTGATTAATAAATAAATATAAGATGAACATCTTCAGTCCAGAAATCTGAAATCCAAATGCTCTAAAGCCGAAATTTTGGGGATACTGATGTGATATTACAAGGGAAAAATTTCACATCAGACCTCACTTGAATGGACTGAAGTTAAAAAAAAAAAAAGGTTCAAGGCCAGCTGTGCATGCCTTTAATCCTAGCACTTGGGAAGCAGAGGCAGGTGGATCTCTAT